CTGTCCTCCCCCTAGGACAAATGGAACAAGCCATAGACAGAAAATCTGGCTGTCCCCAGCACCCATAGAGAAGGGGATGCAGTGTAATCATTTAGGTAGTCTCTAAAGCAGTCTAAGTGATAGGTCGTTCTTTAGTGATCTATTTCAGGACTATCTATATACAAAGATCTCCCTCAATTTAGCTTCAAGCTGCACTTGAAGGTCCATTTTGTACTGATGGACCTTGGTGGGGCTAGAGCTGGAGGGGTAAAGAGGAGGGCACTATTATAGAAGCTGTTTGTTCTTGGAAGGTACTTCTTTTTTTGAGACAGTCTCTGTTGTCCTGGCTCAAGTGCCTTGCCATCATAGTTCACAGCAACCTCAAACTCCTGGGGTCAAGCAATCCTCTTGCCTCAGCCTCCTAAGTAGCTGCTATATATAGGCAACCGCCATAACATGTGGCTAGTTTTTCTATTTTTAGTAGAGATGGGGTTTTGCTCTTGCTCAGGCTGGTCTCAAACTCCTGAGCTCAAGCAATCCATCCACCTCAGCCTCCCAGAGTGCTAGGATTACAGGCGTGAGCCACTGCACTGGACAGAAGCTACTTAAAAATCTAGGAACTGTCAAATAGGTTTAAAGAGGGCAAGAAAGTAGACATCTAAAATATCATGTGGGACTCAGTGCCTGTAGCTCAGCGGCTAGGGCACCAGCCACATACACTGGAGTTGGTGGGTTCTAATCCAGCCCAGGCCTGCCGAACAATAGTGACAACTACAACCAAAAAATAGCCGTTGTGGTGGGTGCCTGTAGTCACAGCTACTTGAGAGCCTGAGGCAAGAGAATCACTTAAGCCCAACAGCTTGAGGTTGCTGTGAGCTGTGACATTGCACTCTATGAGGAAGACATAGTGAGACTCTCTCAAAATAAATAAAACATGTGGGGTGGTGCCCACGGCTCACTGGGTAGGGTACCAGCCACACACACGGAGACTGGTGGGTTCAAAACCAGCCCAGGCCAGCTAAAACCACAATGACAACTGCAACAACAAAAAAATAGCTGGGTATTGTGGCAGGTGCCTGTAGTCCCAGCTACTTGGGAGGCTGAGACAAGATAATTGCTTAAGCCCAAGAGTTTGAGGTTGCTGTGAGCTGTGATGCTACAGCACTCTACCCAGGGTGACACCTTGAGATTCTGTCTCAAAATAAAAAAATAAAACATCATGTGAATGGATTGATGAGATGTTACATGTTTCTATAAAGAGCTGAATTAGAGATCTTAAAAATGAATTCTAGACATATATACTGAAAAGCTAGAGGTTGAAGGGACAGGAGTAGGAAGAAAAAAGGACTCTTGACTCACAGAAATACTCACTAGTCCATCCTCCTCCCCTCAGTCTCTAGGGTTTCCCTCTTAATCCCAAGAGCTCTAGGAGTCTTCTAACCCCTCTGTTTTCTGCAGATCAGGAAACTAAGGCTTACTCTCAGAAGTAACTTGCCTAAAGTATTAGGTCATTGCACATCTTCTATAAGGCACATCTTCTGCCTCTTGGTCCAGCATTCCCCTACAGGCCTGCTGTGTTTAAAAGACCTGCCTGTCCACAGTTACAAGGAATCTCTAAGCAGTGGTTTTCAACCTTCCTGATGCCACGATCCTACAGCAATGAAATTTTATGGTTGGGGTCACCACAAAATAAGGAACTGACTTCCTTATTTTGTGGTGACTCCAAAATGTGGCAGCATTAGGAAGGTTGAGAACCACTACTTTAAGGGTCTGTGTCCATGCTGGTGAAAAGACTATGTCCCATGTTTAGTTATAGGATTCGACTTTGCAGCTACAGTTGAATCAGGAAAAGCTCAAATCATTGTAGGACTTGGAGGTTTAGGGAGGTAATTAAAGGGAACAGAATTTTATCTTAAGTCAGCAGTGTTGTTTGCTGCTCTTCCCTGGTACCCTTTATGATGTACTACAGCACCGATGATTAAGTTGAAGACAGGAAACCCCCATTAGCAGAGCTCTCTAAGCCCCACTGGCAGCTGTTTGTACTTAATGCTGACTTTGGGGCTTCACCATTTAGCACTAGATGGGTACAGAGGCCCTAGGAAATATCTATGCAGTTTGGCTTAGAGTTCTGTGTGCTAATTGGTTTCCCATTTTCCTACTCAGCCTCTAAACCCTGTTTTCCCTCTGCCTTCAGAACCTTCTAGAACAGCCAACTCAGACCCCTGCTCACCTGGCATTTTTCTCTCTCACCTCTTCCTGGCTATGGACAGGAATGTTGGAGGTACCCCATTTACTGGTTTGCTCACTGGCTAATAGCTAATAGCTTTCAGTCTGCTATTGGGGTCATATGGTGTTCCTTTAACAGCCCAAAACAGCACACTATGAATACGTAGCTGCAGAAAGCAGCTTTTGCAGTTCCTCTTCACTTCCTTACCCTGAGGAGAGACAGGAGTGTCTTCCTTTTGGCCAGGGAAAGCACCCAGTCCCATCCAGAGGGGAAAACCCTTTGTTGCAAAAACTGAGCACCAGCCTGCATACCTATCCAGTGAGGCAGCCCAAGCTTGGTTTGGGGAGCCTCAGTAATAGGATGATGGAGCAGCTATTTCCTTCTCCTACACGTGCACCCCCATCTGTTCGAGATTTCCCTTCCAACTCCAGCTTGGCTGGCAGGCATGTCCCTAAGAAGCTGCAGGCCAAAATGGAGAGAGAGAATTGACTCCCTCCTCCACACATCCTGACTTGCTGCCAATTGCCAGAAAAAGAGGGCAACATTTGGGCATTTACCAGAAGACAAGGATGTGCCTTTTCATTTGTCTTTTTATTTTACATTTAAAAAGTGGTTATTGCTCTAACTGGATTAGAGGTAAGGACCTCTCCCCTAAGGAGCCTTGGCCTTGCAGCCCCGTTCAGCAGGGATGGAAGTCACAAGACAATGAGTGGAGCTTCATGCCCTCCCATGAGGAAGCCCTTAGTATTGCTGATATCTGCCCTTTATCCTGTCTCTTCTCCCCTGTGCTGCCACACTTGAGCAAAGCAGAGTGGTGGCGGGCCCAGCCTTGAGAGCTCGTGTAGACCGGAAGGAAAGGGCAGTCATTGGGTGATGGCTTTCAGCTCTCTGGCTTAGGAGCCAATGCTCTTATTCAGTTCAACAAATAGTTACCAAGTGCCTACTGT